CTGTGGTTGGTGGCTGACTCAGGCAGAATGGTTTTCTGACTGCCATGGTATAGCTGGGAGCATGCTGACTGGGACAGCAGAGACTTAACACACTCTCCCAGATAGAATCCTTCTACAGGCATAGATAATCATAACACTTGCAGATGCTTGATATGTGTGAAACATTGGATCCTTTGTCAAATTTGCTAAATTTTATATGCACCTCATCCCTCCTTCCCCCTACAAAACCACATCTTGTCTGCTTGGTCAACAATTTAGCATAGCTATGTAAGAACTAATTAAAGATATTTATTTTCCCCAGAAAGGTACAACTATTTTCACAGGCCTAATGTGTGTGTATATATATATATAATATATATAATATATAATATATATATATAATATATAATATATATATATAATATATAATACAGATTGGCAATTTAAAGTTATTACTGGATTCATTAAAGTCTCAATATCCTACCTACTGCAGAGCTGCTGACAGGGCGAGATTTAGGCAAAATCAGTGGAGTACAAGTTGAGTACTTCCAGAGTGCAAATTATTGGTGACATTTCTAAACAGAGATTGACAGCTGAAGCCAGCACATGTTTCCTATGCCACTTTGGAATGTCATTATGAACAGGGGAGGACTTTGCAATCTTACTGTGATAGCAGGGGGGAAAAAAACAGTTTTCTGTATTTTAATCTCCTTAATTCTTCAGCAGATTATTTTTCTGGAAATACTGTACACTCCCAACACAGCTCAGGATTCTGATTTGTATTACAACTTTCTAAAGCTGTGATCTGCAAAGGGCCATCCCAAAACCTGGGGTTATTAGATTTCTACTCATGCATAAGAAGCAGCTTCCTTCCTATGGATCCCCTTAACTATCCATTATCAACTTAATATTCTGAAAAAGAAATGGTGTGTGTTTATTCATTTTCCTTTTTAATACAATGACTTATCGGAAATAATATTCTAACCTAATTAATATTCATTTTGGTGCATTGTTTATTAGCTCAACTGATTCCCAATTATATCTCCCTATAAACCTTGATCTGCTAGAATAAGTACATTCCAAATATAAATAATTAATAAGACAAGCATGCCTTTCTTATCATGGGTTGTACATTATCAACTGACTCACAGTTCATGTTTGCTGTTGCAATCACTTTGCTTCCAGCACTGCAGCTTAAGTATCTGTCCTTGTTGCTACTGCAAGGGAATAGGCTTAACCATCTTGCTTTTTATATGGAGTAGGATAAAGAAGTGGGCAACTATGAGAACTCAAGGTCAGTTATCTCTGTGAGGGTTTTTTTTTAATGTTATTAATATAACAAATTGTTAAAAAATTAGGGTCTGATCACGTAATTATTTTGTGTGCAAAAATGACAAAAAACATCAAATAGAATTAGTTCAGCACTCTGAAGTACTGCAAAATCAGGTATCTAGCAAAATGTATAATACTGCAAGTATATGATTCTGCACAATGCTGCACTGTTTTTAAATTAAATAAAGTAGAGTAATGTACAACAACAACAACAAAAAAATCAACCAATTCCATTTCCTTTTTTCCCCATATAAATAAATACTGAAGATTCTATGTCATCAAAAAAAAGTCCAAAAGAATAAAACCTGATTGGTAAAATTTTGCCCACAGTGATGTAATAGACACCCAAAGCCCCACGTTTGGTAGATGAATTTCCACTATATTCCTCATTATATCTTCAGCTGCCTGAATTATTTATTAGCGATAACATGCCCAGTGAATATATTGTGATATTATTTATACAGTAGGAATGATCACTGGAGGCTGATGGCTTTTGTTTATGTTTTCTACAGCATAGCAAAGCTTCAAATAGTGAGAGCAGTTATATTTCTCATTTTCAAACTAGTTTATAATAATAATAATAATTTTGTTCAATTATTTCATTAGATAAGAATAAAGTAGATATTTTCAAACTGACATTTAAAATCAGAGTGTGAATAACCATGTGTATTCGCACTAAGCTTTACAGTGATTTCTAGTCAAATCTACAAATCAAGACTCATTCTGTTAGGGTGAATGTATGAACATCTAATTCTTCCTGAGTTTAAGTGAAGAAGCAAAGATGCATTTCTAAGTTATATCAACTGTTATTAGACTGTAATAGAAACTCAATGTAAGATGCCACTGCTGAAGACATAACTGAAAACCATAAGGATGGGCTCAGTAAGCCTGAAAAATTAATTCTCCTGCCAGTTGTTTGCCCCAAGGGAAGTTGTGTCCTTCACTGACAATAGAGCCATAGGAATCTCTATCAGTCGTGGATAGGAGTCCTGATCCTCTGTCAGTCCTGTGGTTCTGAAAGAAGCTGTTACAGAAAAGTGAGTTAGTTTACTCCTAATACAGTTTCTGTAATAATCTCAAAGCATCCTCAGCATTCTGATGCAGACTTTGTAGATCAGTCAGACCAATGATTCTACCAGCTACCAGTACTGATCAGGGCTCCAAGACGTGGCTCCAAGACGTTACCAAGACGTAATCAGCTTCTTGATTAGCTAGAGCCAGATTCACCACTCTCTTCCCTTTCTTTGAAGTTTAGTGGGTTGGACTACTGGGTTTCCTGAAATTACTTGTTCTCATCACACATAACTTCAGTGTCCTCTCCATAATGCTTTCTATTATATCCTTGAAATACAGCAGAGAGGAATGCCATAGTTTTCATCTTCAAGCTCTTTGGAAGTTTATCCGTGTTTTCCTCCAAAATTGAATGATTTCCTTCCTTATTCCCTTTAAGATGCACATAGTCACACATTCCTGGATTGCACACCCTGGCTACAGAGGTCTCACATGATATTTGACTGTAATTTGTATAAAATATCCTGAGAGAGGACAGAAGGGCACCGGGATCTTCCTGTTCAACATCCACTGTTCCATATGGGACACATAAAACTTCTGAATAGTATGATTTATTGCCTAAAGATGCTTTCAGTCTTCATAACTGTAACTGCACTACTGAGTAAACAAGTACCTCTCTGCCAAAAATCCCAGCCAAAAGTAACTGTCCCATGTACTCTTGGTAAGCTTGAGTTGAACAATGGCTGCTCTCTACAGTATCTTACCATCACTGCAGCTTTCAGAGGATATGTTTATCTGAGCATGTTACCCTTCTCAAATCCCTCTAAGACACAGATGTCTAAAACATATCTGTTGTCACAAAGGTTAGGGTGAATGTTACCAGTTAGGTTATGTTACTATACCATGTATTAGGGCTAAACAATTACTAACTCCCAGAAGAAATAGCTGCCAAGCTATCCATAGTTGTCATTACAGAAAATAATACTTTTCTATCAACAGCTCTTTTCTCATATTCTGTTGCATTAGTGTTGCTTCACAACAAAATCTTACTGCAGAGCTGTGCTGGAAGCAGTTAGGTTGAACTGTGAAAACTTCCTCCAGCAAACTCCTGCAACCTGTGCCCTTCTTCTCCCAGGAACAATCCATGTTCATCCTGGAAGACAGAGTTTTCTCTTTTTTGCTCAGACAAAGAGGACAAAAACAGAAAGGAGAGGAGTAATTTTTGCTGGCTCCCTCCCCTGTCCTAATACCATCCCATTGTTCTTATTTTAACAGCACGTGGGCGATGGAGCCAGCTGCTAGACCTTTCTCATTTCTCTGCAGGTTTCTGCAATAAAGGCTGCGTGCATATGGAAAAATAATTCTGGTCTAACACTAGAATCAAGTTCAAGGGACCAAAATGCGGTTTTCTTTCTCAAATCTCTCTAAGGTCTCAAAAACACTGGGCCAACCTTCATCTCATGGATCCTAAGTCTCTCTTCCAACATCAGAGTTCATCTTTCCAGCACACACAGGAAAACACATTCAGACCTAAGTGTCTGCAGACTGCAGAAACACTGTTACTACTCCCATGTTCCTTTCCTTCAGTCTTTTGAGATCAGATATGAGCTCACACTGCCTACACTCCAAGACAGCTGCTGCTGCTACTGTCTTTTTTTTTTATAGCAGAATATACTTGTTTGGCTTCAGCACTGGACTATGCACATCCTCAGATCTTACGTACACATTGGAGAAAAAGCAGAGCTTATTCCCATAGATCAGGCAAAAATATTTTGTCCTTCTGATCTACTCATTCTCCCAAGCTGTTTTCCTCTTTTTTTTTTTTCTGACAGTTTCATAACCTCCACTTGGGCAGCCTTCCAGGAGACCCTGATTCAAGGTCCAGTGTTTTTCCCAGACACTGTACAATCCCATGCCACAGTAAGTGCATTTCTTAAAGTGTGAAGACTGTTTTGCACTTCATAACTCTAGAATATATGACAAATAAAACACTGTCCACAGGAGCTGCATCAGTGTTGGTTATTTCAGCATATTTCAGTGATTAGAGCCTCAGTGTTCTCCCGTCATTTCCATCCTTTCTTCTAAAGAACAGCAGGGAATGGACCTTAAGAAACTGTTGTCCCTATTTTGAAGTCTGTCACAAACATAATTAATGTCTATTAATCCCAGGAGTCTGAGATTACTGCACCTTTAATTGTGCCTATGTCTTTTCCTCCTCTTTTAGCCATTAATTCAGTAATTCCAGTCCTAACATGCATGGTGTACCATACCCGTCCCACAACTTAAATCTGCCCCAGATTGGGGTCCTCTTGTTCAGGGAAGTGAAAGGCTCTGAAAACAGATAACTAAACCGATCCTCGCTGCGGTCTGCCTGTGAGTATGACTACTTCAACTTGTGAATATTATTTCTAATAAATCCACCTTTTCAGAAGGTGCGTAACTTATTTAGCCATTGTTAGCCATTGTTTAGCTATTAGTTCCTTGTTACACACGTGAGGGAAGAGTCTCTCCAGTCATTGAATATACTTTTAAGTTCAATGTTAATGCATAACCAGTATGTCAAAGATGCTTCCTATCAGGGTAGTACTGATATCCAACACTGTTGTAAGCACTAACTGACCAGCTCAGCATAAAATGAAGTTGATTAAAGAACAGCAGCAGTTTTGTACAGACCAGTGGAGCAAAATAGGGAGGAAAATGGGCTGCACGTGACACAGGTGAGGCAGCTCATAACCACAAGGTTCAGGAACCAGAAGCTGAGAGAACAAGTGAAAGAGGGCACAGAAATAATGCCTTCATTTTGCAGCAGCAGTATCAGCAGCAGTTGTCCTCTTATCTTCCCACAAGATGTGCTTCTGGCCTATTCACTGCAATTCCTCACCTGCTGAGGCAGTGGGAAGGAGCTGCTGAGGAAGTAAGACAACAGAAAGAAAACCTTTAAGCTAGCCATGAGATGGTCATTCAAATGACAAGTGAATACCACTTCAGGTGTTCACATTGCTGGCAAATTTTGGGGTGCCACAATATAGGAAAGACATAAAACATGTAGAGCAGTTTTAAAGGAGAACAACCAGGATGGTGAAGAGTATGGAGAACAAGAAGTATGAGGAGCAGCTGAGGTCCCTGGCTTTGTTCATTCCATTGCAGAGGAGGCTGAGGGAAGGCCTTGTGGTGGCTGCAGCTCCTGGTGGGTTGGAAAGTGTATTTGCATACCTGTTCAGTGAGTTACAGTTGGGTGTTAATTCTGCCATGTGGTATGCAGCTAACCAGTCCTGTACAACAACCTGCCAGTTTGCACAGAAGAATATTTCATTTTATTGGAAGAGACCTCTGAATAACAAATATATTCATGGAATCTAAAACCTGATCTTAACTTGCAAACAGAGCAAAAAAAAAAAGCTGCATTTGCTGGTATTTTATTTCCAGTAAATAATTCAAACTCTAATATAAATTTCTTCATTTTGAAACAAGGAATTTGGCTTTGCACAGACAATTCCCAGTGCAGTATTTTTTTCTGACAGGAGCCATCTCCACTGAATTCTGGCAAGTAATGTAAGTTTCACTAAAACAGTTGGGATGTCCTGCAAAATATTGTTAGCTGCAAAATCTCCACTGCTTTTTGAACATAGGCTGGTAAATATAATTATGAGGGTTTCAATCATTTCCTTGTCTCAAAGCTGTAATTTATGTCAATAAGAGGGAAGGGATTAATGGAAAGCATGAATTATCTTTTCACTACAATACTGCTTCCAAAATGTATATCTTAAGCATCCTAGCACACGGCACACTGGTATGGAAGTCTTTAAAACTGTGTTGATCAAGAACTGATAAAAGAATCCTTTACGCTTAAAACCATAAAATGAATCTGTTAAAAATATCCACAGGAGAGCACAAGACTTCTGAATATTTGCTTACTCTTTCCAACATCCCTTTTTTCTCTTGCCCTTAAAGAAATTCAAATTAATTATAAAAATGAGGACATTCCTAATACTATTTTTAGTGAAAAGTTACAAGGTTTAATTTGTGTGAAAGTACTGACAAGTTTATTCATTTTGTAGGAGGGTGGAATTTGCCTCACGTAACACTCAGGACTCAGCTACAGCTTTGATAGAAATGTTATTTGGTAATTATCTGCTCTTCCCTTGGGGACAAAGTAATTAATTCTGCACTGCACTTCACAGCATATTCTGTTTTTACACACATATGAAGGATGAATTCTGGAAGATTATGATCAATACTTACTGCATTGGCAGCCAATAACTCATCATCCTGGCAGCTGCATCATGACTTAAAAAACAAACAAACTCAGGAACACAGAATTCTGACTTCACTTGTTGACCTTGTTTGTGTTTTAGAGGGGTGAAGAAAAATACTTAAAATTAGCTTTCATTAAAGAAGTATATGGCATTTTCCCCAAAGAAAATAATACACAAATGTTTTCTTTGTGACCTAACTCGGAACCAAAAGATAAGTGATATATTTTTACCTATTACTTGATTGTAGCTTTTTTTTTTTTTTTAAAGAGTTAGATAAAACAAATTTGAGCATAAATTTGAAAATCGGCATTTTGTACCTAAATACTACACTGGTATTTTTGAAGCCATTTTTGCCTGCAACAAGGCAAGACCCAGGGCGGAAGGGAAAGACTGGGGAAAGAGCTCGGTGCTAGGGATTGCATCAGACCTGGCCCTGGAAGCTCTGCCAAGTCTCCGTCCCAGATAACATGGCCAAGGAAAAACATTTAGGCTAGAGGAGTTAGAACTATGATTTTATCCAAGCATTTGAAAGAACAGAATCTCCTGGTATAGATGCAAAAGTGCAACACGCATTTCCCTTTTTTCAGTTTTGGAGGGCCTGTTCTAAATTTTATCATAAAAAACACACCCATATAACCTACTTTATCCTCTTAGAAAGGTTGCTTCTTGTCCTCTGTGTGAAGTACTTTCTGATCTTGCTTGGCTGTAGTTTCTTGAGGTTGTGGTTTTCCATTTGCAAAATAAGTATAACAGCATTTCCTATCAACAGGAATGTTGTGTAAATAAAAATATTAAAGGTATCAGAGAGCGCAGTTATAGAAAGACAAATACCAATACTGTGGCTAAGAACCAGTGGCTTAATGTTTTGAAGTTTGTCACTGTCCAAAAAAAACCAGACAGCTGAAATTCTCATTTATTCCATTAGCAAGTAAGGGACTTGGCACCAGACACATAATTGGTACCGTCCTTAGTCAGTTTTTAAAAAGCTCTTGGACTTAATCTGCCAATAAACCAACAATTAGACATTTTACAGGAAACTATTCCATTGACAAAAATTAAGTTTAGGAAGAAGGAGTCAGAAGACTGGAACTGGCTGCACTTCACAAAGTGCTAGTAATAAATCCTGACAGTAAAAGGGAATGCAATACTTAAGCCAGAAAAGTGAAATCACTAAAAATAAAACTAGAGGCAAATTACATTGAGCTCTCAGATCTCATTCGAATATCTGACTGGAAAAATTTCTTGCCATGATAGCTGTAGCATCCCAAGAGGTCTACATCTGCCTTCAGCCATACAACTCTGCCAATCAAGAAGACAAATAATGAATGATGTTCGTTTCCTCATTTGGTATGCTTTGGTTTGCAGCCAAGATAAAACACTCAGAGTGAAGAGGAAAACAGTTCTTGTGTCCAACAAAGATGCCCCTCTAGAGTTCCTTTCAGGCTCAGAGCCACACTTTGAAACACCACCCCCAGCCGCCTCCTCCCAGAAAAAAAATCCACCATAAAATATATGAAAAAAACTTCCAAGACCAAACCACAGAATGCGTCATTTTTTCCTGCACAAAGCACAGACTGGCTCTGGGAGCACTAACACCCACCTGCAGGTCAGACAGCCAAGGACTGAGGCCATGAGTATTCTCTGCACTCATCACACAGGCAAAAAAGCCTCAGTGTAGTACCCATCAACATATCTAAGTCTTATCTTTTCTGGGTCTTCTGTGTAAGCTCTTTTCTCTGAGAGTGACACATTTGATATGCAGTAAGATGACAGAATGAAGGCATATAGTATTCTTCTTCCTACCCTGTCCTCTGTTCTCCTTTGCATGAGATACCATCAAGCTCTTTCAAGCTTAACTACTGCAGCTTGCTGGCAAATGATTGGCCAGGAGACGACACGTTGGCCTTGCTGTGTGCTAGATCTTGCTATGCTAGATACACCCTGGTTAATGCCACGGGATCTGTTACTTCTCCATGGTAGACTAGCACAAAGCAAGGAATCACCTGCAATCAGTTCCACAGAATGAGCATAGTATTGTACTCATCCTTATTAACATGCCCTTCCTCACTGCTGAGAAGCAGGGCTAATTACTGTGACTGTAGTACTGACTTAAACTCTTAATGTCTTGCTGTTCTGGTGCTATTTTAGTTGTTACTCCTCTGAGATTATCCACAGCACACTCTCCTGGCTTCGATGAGATACAACGAGAAACAATGAGGTGAAAAAACTTCCTTTGCCTTTTCCTCAGACTTCTGGAAAGGTTTGGGTTATTCTGGATTACAATACAGGGTGGAGGCTTGGGGTCAAGCTTCACTTCAAGCTCAGCTCTTCCTCTCCTAATTACCCAAACCATACTCTTCATGATTAATTCTCTCATCAGTGTTTCAAGGTCTTCAGGGATTTTGGCAAAGATGACTATGCTATCAGCTGATCTAATGTGGTTTAGGTGCTCTCATTTATCACAGTGCCCTTTCCCTCCTCCCTATTCAAGGTTTTTATAATCTTTTCCAAGGAAGAAGAAAATTGTTCCAGTGTGACAATATCTTCTTGTCTAGTTCTATTCTTCCACTTAATCTCTTCACTTCTCCTGTCAATGTTTAAATGTCAATGCAATGCATTGTTCACAAGCTCCGGGATTCTAAGAAATCCTTCACAATGTTTCTATTCCTGACTGTGTCCAGGCTTCTTCTGCATACACTGTTTCCATTATCCACCTCATTAGGGGCACGCACCTGCTCCTGGAGAAGCCAATGGCAACCTTCCCACTTAGTTCAAAAAGAACAGGTTTGGACCCAGTGGTGTGCCTACTGATGAATTAACTTTCAGACAAAACTCAAAGAGGCAGGAAATCTTCCAGGAACATGCTTTGCCATTTGAACAGAGGAGGATTTTCCTAATTGCAGATGTCAAATTTTTTTCTGTATACAATCAATAGCCCACTGCTTAAGACTTAAATGAGAATGGACTGCACAAAACTGTTAATAGAAAAACTAAACCATAGTTCACTAACTTCCTCATACAGTGAATTTTATTAATTTAGACACCATTTACACTGTAGACTACAAGTGCTTGTGACATGAAGGGATGGCTACTATTTGAAATGAATGAAAACACATTCCTGGATGGCCAGTACGGGATATTCTCCAAGTAATGTCTCTCCATTAAATTAAATTTCATCGCTGCTGGAACACAACATGGAGTTAGTCCTCCCCTTCAAAAAAAAACCCAACCAAACAAAAAAAAAATAACAAAACAGAACAACAGCAAAATAGAGCAAAAGAGAAAATATTATTTTAGCCTCTACAGAAGTTTGAGGAAAAAAAAAAGAAAAAAAAAGGTATTTTTCATCTTTCAATCTTTCGGGGATATATGATGGAAGATATAGGTTGAAATGTCTCTAATGTTCTTCTGCCTTGACTACTGTTTGCCTTGTGGAGATGCTGCTTCTTTGAGAGTTAGAATAATATCTTAGCACACAGCAGTTTAAAACACATCATAAACTTCATTTCCTATATAGTCAAGATCAGTCTCTCATTTCTACACTACAGTGTGACTTCCCCAAAACTTTCAAATGAATCAGGCCATATTTAAACCTGGTTTGTAAAATAGAACACAAAACAATTACCTTCCTTCCAAATTGGAGATACTAATTAAAGTTGAACTTGACAGAATTGACATCTGATCAAAATTTTCTTAAAAATTGAAAAAATATTTCTAGTTTTTGCTTGACTCACAGCTGACTGCATTGTCAGTATTCTAATCCCAGGCACAGATTTCTGCTTTTGCTGGTTACAAAGCTGTAATATAGATTAATGTCTGCTGAGCTATAGTTTGAGACCAAATGAATCTCTCTTATGATGTAAACCAGATTTAAGTCGTATCCTTCAGAATCTATTCCATTAACAGATTTCTTTCCTATTCTTTCATCAGACATAAACCTAATCTGACAATCTTCAATCAAATTGTCACGGAGCTCATTAAAGACACTGGAAATTTCTCCAAGTTAACTATAAGATCAAATATGTTCTTCACATCACTGCTACAGCAGTGAGTTTTGTAAATTAGCCGGTAGCTCCTATGTGTTAATGGTAAATAAAGCTGAAATGATCACATGTGTGAGGCCATGTTGTTCAGAGCATACAATAGGCAAAAAGAGGCAAATGAAAAACTGAAAGAACCTGAGCTTGGTGTTAAGTATTAGATAAAGCAACTTCATGTTATTCCTTGTCAACTGTCCACATTCCATGGGTTTCTTTATGCCAAAGATTCTTTTTCTCCACCCCTTCTGCATGGATATAATCTTGTGTGGAAGAACAATTGCATGCCACCACCCTTTTCTACTTGATAATTTTGATTACCGAGTGATTCAGATATCAGTTGTGTTATATGTAAGGAAATCCAAATCTCTGCATTAGTGATTTAGAAGGTAATTAGCATGAAGAGTAAGACACAGATCTTTATGTCCTCTCCTAATCATATCCTGGTAAAGGACTTGAACAGTTATTTGACAACACACAAAAGACATCAGTAGTCCAGATTTTTAACTTCGGTTTTCATAACAGAAAATCATTGATGCCCCCTTTCCTTTAGTAACAAATACCTATGAGAGTTCTAAAACACAGTCATGAATGTACTATGAATTGACTCCAGAACACTCTTCACTATAAGATTACTTTTCATAGGAGGTTATTGTACTTCAACTACCAGCTACACTGATCCTCCCAAGCAACGCAGTCAATTTTACTGAGCATTTCAAATACACTGATTTCTTGGCTCCTGAGAAGAGACTAATTGAGAGGGTGTACTGTATTACGGAATACAATTTGCCTAAAAAGATTACCGTCTAGCTCATTAATTTTACATTACCATACCATACGTCTATTGACTTTATCACAATGCTTTCTACAGCTACTTACTGCAATAGCAAAAACACACAGGGATCACATAGCCATTAAAGTGATGAAAAATTCTGTAGAGACGTTATTATTTATTTATGACATAGCTGTGTCTCCTGGTTTTAGTCAATATTGACACACACTGCACCAATCCAAAAAAAATGTGTTCCCTCTCCTGAAAAACTCAAAGTCTAATTACTCCTGGAAGCAGAACTAGTATGACACAAACAAATAGAAAGAAGGAAAAAGCAGTAGTTATGAGTTGTATTTATGTAAGTCAAGTATTTACAGAACTGGAGACTTTGTCTGCATTTTATAAACATACACTGTAAGATAATTGCAGTAAAGATTGATAAGAAATAGAAGTGAATGTCAAAGGGAGAACTTAAAGAAGACTGAACTATTGAGGGTTCTAATCCCAAAGAGACAATTGGGGATGATATTTGAGCTAAAGGAATTTGAACAGAGCAGACTGATGCTGATATGTCAGTGAAACAAATGCTGCAGCATTCACACAATTAAATTTAATATTCCTGAATGAAAATGGTAATACAATAATTTGTCAGGTGTCATAAACAAGGAACTGTTTTAATTCAGTATGAGACAATGTACATGAGCATGAGTATGCTGAAGGATGCTCTGGGTTACCAAAGCAGCAGAGGCTTGAAGGTGTCAGAAGAGACCCAGGTCTCTTCTGATGAAAAGCCAATTCTTATCTGGACTAAAGAAAAACCTCCACTTTATGAGGACTTCTAAAATTATGAGAAAAAATAAAACTTTTTTTTCAGAATTAAATAGTAGAAAGTAGAAATTTCACTTGAAAATGAATTTTAGTACAATTATTTGAAATAGTAAAAATTCTTAATTTGTTGGATATGAGCACAAGCTGTGAGGTATGTCAAATGGCTCCTTTGACTGAAGGAAGTTAGGAGTGCTGCAGTTTACAGCTGAGTTGCTCCCCACTCTGCCAACAGTGGGTCTGAAGGCCTAAGATTGCTGGCTCAGAAGAGGACATCATCTGCCAGACACAGCATTATAAAGGCAGGAGTGTCATAAAGCCAGAAGTCATTAGGACTACCAGGCTTTTTGCTGCAGAGACACACGTCTAAAGCAGTGAGGTTTGTCTTTGCCCACTTGTCACACTAGATCTGCACAATGTACTGAATCTCCCCATAGCTCTCAATTTCATCTTCACCCTCTGGCTGCAAAATCAGGAGGTCCCATGGGCATCACAATGGCTCTGAACTTGTTGTTCACTGCCATTCTAGTATGGGAGAACAAAGTGGATGAGGTGATGATGCTCCCCATTCTGTGCTAGAAGATATTGCAGACTGAAGAATCTCAGCTGAAAAGTAAAGTGAGTCCAAAAGCTTCAGATCCCAGCTGCAAAACTGATCCAGGTCTCCCCTGGCTCACGTACGTATGGCAGAGAATCTGCAAATCTGCAGGAAATTTAGCCCCAGGGTTTCTCGAAACAGCAGGTTCTACATGGTAGAATTGCTTTGAAGCCCCTAACAGCCCATAAAATTAACTGGCAAGAACTCAAGAGTGTGGCTGTCATAAAACAACCTGTGTTTCTCTTGTTGTTCATCAGGAACAATGTACTTCCAGAAAACAATCTGGATTTTGTAGTAGAATGCAGATGGAAATACCTAACACTCTAAAACATGAAGGTCATGCAGGGAAGATAGGAGACAAGGAAAAATTGGTCTGCTTAATCAGGTTCTCCTTCTGGCTAGACACAAACAATACAAGTACAGTGAAGCAACATGTAGAGAACCAACAGCAAGGTAATACACGTCTTGTTAAACTAATATTCATCCTTATAGGTTTTTTGTACTTATCCTAAGGTTCTACTGCAAATTCTTCTTGCAGTACAGCTCTGGATTTTACACAACACTAACTTACCAATAGTATCCAGTATTTATTTTCCTACCAGTAGTGCTGCCTTTACTCAGAAAAGATGCAGCTGTGGTAATGCTCCTAAGGACAGTTGTCCCTCTGTCTCATAGATATGTTTTCAATTAAGTTTAATTACTGCCCCTGTTGTTTCAGACCAAAGCCCATTTTACACAATGTGCAGCTTGTACTGCAGAGTAGCTGCAATCTGGAAGCTCCACAGCAAGAACAGAGAAACTGCTGCCACCCCAGTAGTATTATTTGCTGTAACGATGGACTGAATTTAAAGTCCTTTTTTTTCTTCATGTATTTTTGAGGCTTACCTAGGACTCTAGTGCTACAATCTGGATGCAAGGAAAAAGATAGAATGAGTAAAAGATTAAAGCAGCTCTCCTGAGGCAGACTTTTGTCAGGAAAGTCACTGTCTCTGATGCTTTCTCAGAAATCTCAGCTCCTGCTGTTAATTGATTACAAAGACCAGATTCATTTTTTATTTAAAAAAAAAAATATAAGCACCGGCAAGTACAGAGGAAAGTCATTAAAATATGACTGAAGTTCTTCTGCAGGGCTCCAAGAAAGAGACAAGGGACAAGAGCTGAGCAGTTGTTGTTCTGACATTATCATTTAAAGAAAAACTCAACATTTCGGAAGGTCTTGGTACCACAAACTGATATTTACAAAGCACAAAGCAAAAAAAAAAAAGGCAAAAAATAAATCTCACACCTAAAAGAATTTCAGGGTAAGAAGTTACCCCATAAGTACCCAGCTGAACGCAGACTGGTGTTGGCACAGATGCGGGTGCAGACAATATATTAATGCACTACTTTACCTGCTTAAGGCTTAATTCCTGCCCAGCAACTGGGCACTCTGGGTGAAGCATCAGATTTTATGTCAGTCCACATCTTTGTTGTTGAGAACCCACTATTTGCTTAGATTGGAGAGAGGGATGCTTTGCTCTGACTCTCAGCTCAAATGTAGAAAACAGCATGCATAAAATCCGCAAAGTAAATGCAAATCCACCATCTAAAGAAGCACCATATTAGGAACTCTCTATTTCTTAGGCATAACACAAGTCGTTTCCAGAAATCACACACAGAATCCAAGAACAAACTAAAATGGAACCAGCAGCATTTGCTCCCAGCAGCCTTGATCTGATTGCAGCCACATGGCAATATTAGCTGCCATGTGGAAAACATTCATTAACCTATTTAACCAAAATTAACTATGAAAATGTACTCTGAGTTTTCTTCCTTCATATTGGTAAAGCATTTTTCAACATAAGTGTTTTCTATCCAATTTAAAGCTTTTTTTTTTCTGTAAATAGTATCATTATTATCATTATGCTGGGAAAGGTTAGACCATGATTTTTGTCAGAGTTTTCAGAATCACATTTTACTTGCTAAAATGTCAGGAAAATAATCTTGTCTTAGACTCACTGAGGTGCAGTAAATTAACTTCAGAAAATAAAACAAGAAACATTATTGGACATCACAGAAGTGGTAAGCTGTAGTTACACATGCACACAACAAAAAACAACTTTTTCCAGACAAATTGAGTTAATGTGCCAGCTACAGTTCCAAAGAATCATGGCCTTGGTCTCATACCATGGTCCTGGTTCAGTCAAAAATAGAACCGGAAGTGTTGAAGTGCCAGTTCAGAGTCTAAGCCATTGAATTAAAGTATCTTTACGTCTGACCATGCACATTTCCCACCCACCTCTACAGTATGATGAATTAATTCTAATCTATTTCCATCATTAGGAAATTTGAAATCTCTCTGTAAGTTTATGTTGATTTATGTTGACCACCACATGCCCATTTCAGTCATAAGCTTATTTGTATTTGAAAGAGGCCTCCTTGGAAACAGCTTTTGAGTGAAAACTCTTCCATATTCCCACAGAAGACAATACAGATTTCTTGCTTCAGTACAGCTGAGATATCATTCTTTCTACTTTGGTGAATGTATAATCAATGAACATACATATAATTACAAAATATCCCAGAAAGTTTGGCTAAGCAATGATTATACCAAAAGGAGAATAAATAGAACATTTACCTGTATCCTAGGCTCACTATGAAACTTGAGAAAAGGGATCTCCAGAAGAGACTCTTCCCCTCTGGCAGTCAGCTCTTAAATGGGTCCAGGAGAGGTGCAGCCTGGCTCCACCCCTTCCGGCAGCACAGGAGAATTGCCTTCACCTGTGCTCCCATGGCTGACTCAGTGCTCACCTCAGGTGATCAATCAGAGGTTCAGGTTGCGATTCAGCAGTTCCCATACAGTGATCTCTCATCTGTCTTAAGAGAACATAAAAATGTCTGTGCTGGACAAGATCGGTGCCTCATTTAGCCCAACATTTTTTCTTTAGCAGTGTAACAAGGCAAGCAAGATGTAACACTATCCCAAGAGACAATCCCAGCTTTAGCAATGTACAACATAGCTTCAGTAGCTAAAGATGATGACTTTGAACTTGTTACCCTTCATAGAAATTGTGGCATACATTAGTACATACTGAGGTGGGTTGAGAACTGGCTGACGGGCAGAGCACTGAGTGTTGTGATCAGCAGCATGGAAGCCTGTGATCTAGCTGGAAACCTGTAACTAGCAATGTTCCCCAGAGCCTGGTTCTGGGTCTGGTCTTGTTCAACACCTTCATCAGTTACCTGGATGAAGGGTCAGACTGGACCCTCAGCAAATCTGCTGATTATACAAAGCTGGGAGAAGTGGCTGACATAGCAGAAGCCTATGCTGCTATTGAGTGAGATGTGCACAGGCTGGTGAGTTGGCAATTAGGACTTCATGAGGTTCAACAAGGGCAAGCGTAGAGTCTTATGCCTGGGGAGGAATAACTGCATGCATCAATATAGGTTGGGGGCTAACCTGCTGAACAGGAGCTCTATGGAGAAGGAGCTGGGTGTCATGGTAATCCTGATGGCTAGCAGGTTGGCCACGAGCTAGCAGTGTGTCCTTGTGGCCAAGAAGGCCGGTGGTATCCTGGAATGCATTAAAAAGAGGACAGCCAGGACACTGAAGGAAGTGATCCTCCTCCTCTACTCTGCCCTGATAGGCCACATCTGGAGTACTGTGTGTCCAATTCTGGGCTCCTCAGTCCAAGAAAGACAAAGAACTTCTAGAAAGAATCCAATGAAGGAACACAAAGATTATTAGGGGCCTTATGAGAAACGGCTGAAAGAGCTGGGGGCTGTTCAACCTAGAAAAGACTGAGAGGAGATCTTATCAATGTTTATAAATATCTAATGGATGAGAGTCAATTGGATGTGGCTAGGCTCTTTTCAACAGTGCCCAGCAACAGTAAAGGTGGCAGTAGACACAAACCTGAACATAGGAAGGTCCACATGAGCATGAGGGAAAATTTCTTTTCTGTGGGGTAACAAAACACTGGAGCAGGCTGCCCAGAGGTTGTGCCTTTTCTCAAAACCTGCTTGGATGCTTTCTTGTATAACTTATTCTAGGAAACATGTTTTAGCAGGGGGCTGCAGTAGATGATCTCCTGGTGTCCTTTCCAATGCCTATGATTCCATAATTCTTTGAAAAAGATACATTTTCAGCTGTCATGATTTCATATACAATTCTTTTAGCCCATCTTGTTTAGCTTTCTTTCAGTCCTAAGAGGTTTGACTGGATGCCTAGTTAACATGTAGTTGCTTTTCTTAGAGACCGTTTATGTGATGTTCCTGTCACCTTCTCAGCAGCTTTTCCAAGTCAACTGTATTTTTTTAAATATGAGAGCTGTGATTGACTATTACATTTAATGTGCAGATAAATCATGAATTTATACAGCAGTTACAATTTTCTGATTTGCTATTTCCTAACAACTCTTAACATTCCATTCTTTTCTATTTTGTTGCTGGTGGTGGTGGTGACTAATGAATTCTGAGCTGATATTCTCACAGAAATGTCAATTACAACCCCCCAGTTTCATTCCTAAATTCCTCATCATCTCAGAACTAACAATTTTATAGCCAAAGTTAGAATTTCTTCTCAGTGCGTATTACTTTACATTAAATATACTGAATGCATGTGCCATTTTATGGTTTAATCATTCAATGTTGTAAGGCCCTTCTTCCACACTTTTCCATGTTGGCTGTCATTTCTACTGCTCTGAATAACAGTCTCATCTGCAAGCTTTATCACCCTTCTTTGCTTTCTCAGTAACTGCTTATTGTTTAATCTCTACTGCTTGCAGTTTCAAGTGTTAAGTGACATGAATTGTGTATGATTACAACACAGTACATCAGGAAGGAATGATTTAGAAGAATTATTGCACAATATTTCTATTCTTTTTATCACCTTTTCTTCTTCCCCATCTGTCCTACGTTCCCCTTGTTTGCAAAATTGCACAGAGAAAAATTGTATGTCATTCAGGGAAATTAGTCTGATAGCTGTTCTCTGAAAAGAACGTTTGGATAATTAAAAGATTACTTCTCTTCTGGAGCTTATTGTAGCTGAGCTAGAACCAAGAGGAGGTCTGAAGAAGTGGTTTGAATGTACACATAGGGAAAATCGTAATTTTGTTCACTTAGTATGATGTTCTGACAGAATCAACTGCAGTTTTCTTCTCACTAGCTGGTGGGCTGACACAAAATCTCTCCAAGGCCAGAACAAAGAATGCTCCCGGGACCTGACAGCACACAGGATTTATGTAGCAGCAGACCATCATCCTATTCAGAAGCATTTAGCCAGAGTAGTTTGCCTTGTCTCTACATCCAATTTCCATCAGTCAGAAATGTCAAGGGACCAGAATGATTTAAGAGCAGAGGGTAACCTTTGCTTGGGGGTTGGCTAGTTCATTCACAACATGTAGGAAGTATGAGATGTACTTTAAAAGGTAGGACAAATTATACAAAGTTGTTTTAAAATCTGGCTAGCAACATATTATTGAAAGATGTCTCTTTCAATCTCAAGAAACATGACCTTCAGGATTCTTGTTGTTCCTAGGTCCTGTGATGATAAAATGTTCCTCTTCTGTTTTGCTCCCCAAAGTCCTCTCATTGAGTATTGAGCTTTAACTAAACCCTACTCAGACAAACAAGCCTTCAACAACACAGGTCAGACAATTCATTGTTTTTGTCATTTGTCTGTTCATTTAGCAAATTTTGCTCTTTCTTTTTGGCTTTTCTTCCAATGAATCATATGCACATAATTCAGGTTGTATATTAGAAAAGAATTCTTCTCCAGAAGAATGGTGAGGCACTGGCACAGGCTGGTGATGGGGTCACTGGCACAGGAGGTGATGGAGTCACCATCCCTAGAGGTTTTCAAGAAATGTGGAGCTGTGGACACGGTTAGTGGGCATGGTGGGGATGAGTCGATGATTGAGCACAATGATCTTAGTGGTCTTTTCCAACCTTAATGATTCTACAAATCTATGATTCTCTGAATAACTCAAAAGTTTTCCAGGGAAGAAACAATAATCCATGTTTATCCTATGTGAACAGAGCCAGGATGAGGACATTCCCTTACTGTGGAAGGTTTTTATGTTTCATAAGAAATTAGGCAGCATATTATGAAACCAGTTTATATTTCAGAATGCTTTAAGATTTTGTACAACAGCCATCTTACTGTAATGTATGACCTACTCAAGTCACACACACACATTTTCTAAGAAAAGTACATTCACCTCTGTTACGCTCACTTATTCAGTTCTCTAACTGGATGACAACTATGTTACCAAAACTGAGAGAGACATCATGGGAGTTTCACTGCATGTCCACTTCTGTCTGCAGCTATTCACAAATTTTGTGAACCTTATGCTTTCTACAAATATTGTTGTATTTACTGTAGTCTATGCATTTTCACTGGAAGCAAAGGTTGTGGATATAATTGTTAAAAGCCTAAATTTTTTATTCATAAGCAGATTTTACAGACAACATCGAATCTGAAAATGATGCTGAGTTTGCCTTGAGAGTGGAAAATAGCAATTTAGCAAGATCACTGACTGTCATATACAAAAACAAAAATAAAAAAAAAAAAGTTAGAAATGTATTTGCATGAATAGTCAATGAACTGAAATAAAAATTCCTTTTTTGATATATTAAGCTGATCAAAAAATGGCTAATGAAGGTTACAGTGATTTGCTTTTTATTTTATGTATACCTATATTCCAAAAAATTTCTGAGTTTCTTTTCAAATGTTATTTGTTGACAACTGAGTTGAGCAGCTACTTTTTAACATTTCAGCATGCATTATATTTTAATTCTGTTTTCCTTCCAAGAGATATCATTTCCAGAATAGCTTTGTTGAAAATATTATTTGTTGCAAAGAGATGTCTCAAAGCATGCCTGCACAGAATAAACCCTCAAGCTCACCCTTCTGCAACAAAAGCTCATATTTGTTGTAGGTAGACACATGAGAGTTTTCTTTGTCTCCTTTGAGGACAAAAATAAAAAAAAATAAATAAAAGGTTGCTGTACCTAGCACAAGGCATTGCCATCTGTATGCATTAGAGTAAGCAATTTAATTCCTAAGATAATAGGACTTTCAGAGCTTTCAAAGCTACAGGCAAAAAGAATATATTCCACTTCGCCTTTTAGGTGCCAGACCTGATTTTCCTCCCATCTGAAGTGATTGTCTTAATGGTATTGATATTAGTATGTTTATTTTGTAAGCACATGTTTTGAAACAATATTTGGATGAAAACTCTGTAAAGGAAGTAATGAAAGACAGGTAAGGTCATCTGTCACTTTCTGAGTCCTTGGAAAACATATCATTCTCAGAAAATCAGTTTCTATATTGCAATTGTGCACAAGAAAATGAATGACGGGGGGGGGGGGGGGGGGGAAGGGGGAGAGAGAGAAATCAGGAGAAAAGCTACTTTGTGTTTCATTTTGATGGAAAAAAATCTGTATCAACTGCATGAGGTTTGTGCTGTAACGTAATTCAGATGAGTCATAATGTTGATTTGTATACCAAACATCTCAGAGTGCCTGCAAGACAGCAAGATCAGACCTCTAGTTGAGAGAATTATTTATCAGTCTGAGTGGAATAAGACATCATTCATTTAACAGAAATTAGAAGTAGCTGCCTTGGCAGAGCTGCCTGTGGAATTACAAGAGTATGGGCAAGAATTCTTATAATGCTGG